CCTCCTGCTTTCTTTTAACAGTTTGTCTCTTCACTTGCTTTGTCAGTCCTCAGTGGGTTTTTGAAGGCAGGGACTGCATCGTTAACTTTGCCCTAATATTCATCGAGGCACAGTGGTCATTTTGGGATGAAAGACCCTCTTTGATAATAATGAAATTACTAGTATTTATCAAGAGTCGTCATGTGCCAGTAACTTACTATTCATGCTTTACATAAACATATGAAAATATCTCTCTCTTCTTGTTCTTACATTCTTGTAAGAGTTCTTACATTCATAAGAATTCACAGAAGATCTGCCATTTATCTAAATATTCCTTTATTCATATCAGAATACCTCTCATCCTCATATCTTTCCAAGGTGATGCTGCTAATTTCACAGGTATGATAATTTGCGCTCAGAAAGGTGACTTTCTCAAAGCCACACAGCTAATACGGAGCAGATCCAGAGTCACATTGAACAGGTTTTTGGAACCAAACTGCTCGTCTTTTCCCCCATACTGTTACTTTTCAAACTTGACCACAATCACTTGGGAAATTGAAAAGATTCTCATGTCTGAGTCTTATCCCTAATGACTTTAATGAGTTGTTTTGGGATGTGGTCTGGATATTAGGGCATTGGGTTTGGGGTTATTTTGGTTAGTTGGTTTTTACAGTGAGCCCCCAAGGTTGAGAGCTGGTGAACCACACTGCACTGCTTTACTGCACCCACACACACCGGTGTAAGGGGCATCATGTGCCATTGGAGCCTTGCGTGCGCATATATCCACTCTGTAGTTTTTGGTAGCCAGGGATCTTGGGCCCTCCTTGCTGCTTCCCCATCAGCGAGCCCACCGCACCATGCATGTGCACCAACCAGGGGTGTTGACTTAGCCAATGTCTGAGTCTCGTGTCTCTTCTGAGGATTCACGATAGGCACTTAGATGTTGATCGCTTCCAGCTGTTCCCATCCTCAGGGCCTGTTGACTTAACGGAGGAGTCTTATAAACATCCAGAGCACACTTGCTGGTCTCCAGAGTGTTGCTACATGACCTGACACATGGCAAGTGTGGCGTGGGCCAGCCTCCCACACTCTGACAGTCCTGCGTGGTGGGAGTGGCTGCTCTGAGCTTCCCAGCACATGACTGGGTGCCAGGCAGTTTGTGTCTGCTCGGTGAGCTTATATGTATTTTCTGTTCTGTCCAGGGCTCACAGAGGCCACTTTCAACCCTCATTTTATAAGTAATGCAAAGAGAAATGACTTGGTAAATAAATGGGCCAGAGCCTGATTTTTCCTCTCAGTTCAATACCTTTTCTGTTATAACAAAGTGGTGGTTAGTGTCTGACTTTTCACATCAGGCCTCCGCTGAAGCCAGCGTCTTGCTTACCCCAAACACGGGTGCACTTGGCACCTTGGGTTTCACTTTCTCTTCGTGGGAATATAGTTCTAGAGAGGAAGCCTCCTGTGTTCTCCAGGATATGGCTCGGAGATCAGCCTTTACCTGCTTGGGTTCTTCCTGGATCTGCTTCAATGAATGGACATTTCCGGCCATACTGTTTAGATGCTTCTGGTAGCCACAACTCCCATCCTCTAGTATTTATTACTTCACTCTCATTGGCTGTACAGTACTTCTGTGCCAAGCTCGGCTCTAGGCATTGGAGATACAGAGATGAAAGACATTCGGTGTCCTAGAGGCATATGGTAATAGTATGCAAGCAAAGTATGCTCTCTAGCGCCCCCTAACCTCCCATGTGATGAAATATAGATTACTAGCTTCTCCTGACACTCATTGCCGTTGAGGCCAAACTGACTGATGGCTCAACCTCCATTGGGTTTCTGAGGCTGTTAAATTCCATGTGGTCCAGAGGGGTGACCTGACACACCCAGGCGATACCCTCACTCACATAAGAGTATTGTGTGTCTTTCTCGCTTGGAGCTTCTGTTGGATTTGAACCACCAAAAGGTGTGCCCTTTATCTTAGCAGTGCAGCTAGCTCCCTATGGATTATATCACCAGAGACCTCTAGATCCTGTCGTTGTTGTGGTGGTTGTGGACTATTGAACTGGAACCGACCCATAGATGACCCTCGAGAGCAGGTTTTCAGAGGCAGTAATTGCCTGGAAGGAGTTGCCCATCCTTCTCCCTCAGAGCAGCTGGTGGACTTGAACCGTGTGACTTTGGGATTACAGCACAGATTCTTCCACTAGGTCACCGGAGGTCCTAGATGCACCATCTCAGAGTCTCTGGAGAGTGAGCCCTAGGATCCGCATTTCAGAATGTTTCCTACATGAATCTCGGATGCTCTGAGGTTTGGTAACTGTGAAAGTGAGCCAGAGTTCCCGGGAACACCAGAAGTTAACTGGGGCTAAGAGCAGCTTAGTCAAGATTGGTGGATGATCTGTCAACAGTCTGCATTATGCAGATGACACAACCCTGCTTGTTGAAACTGAGGAGGACCTGAAGCGCCTGCTGCAGAGGGTCAAGGACTGCAGCCTCCAATATGAATTGAGGCTCAGTGTCAGAAAGACAAAGATTCTCACCACTGGACCAATTGGCAGCATCAGGATGGATGGTGAAGAGATTGAGATTGTACACATCTTTAGTTTGCTTGGCTCCACAATAAACACTCTTGGCACCAGTAGCCATGAAATTAAAATGTGCATTGCCATAGGAAAGTCAGCTGTTAGGGACCTCCCCAGGGTACTGAAGAGCAATGGTGTCTCTCTGGAGACTAAGGTGTATCTGATAAAGGCCACGGTCTTTGCAGTCACTTGTGCATCAGACAGTTGGACAATGACCAAGGAGGATAGAAGGAGAATTGATGCCTTTGAGCTGTGGTTTCTGGAGAAGAGTATTGAGAGTACCATGGACTGCTAGGAAAACGAACAGATTTGTCCTGGAAAAGGTTAAACCGGGTGGCTCCTTGGAGGCAAGGTTTTTGAGGCTCCATCTAACATACTTTGGACATGTTGTAAGGAGGGACTGGTGCTTGGAGAAGGACATCATGCTTGGGAGGGTAGAGGGACAGCGCAGGAGGGGAAGGCCCTCTCTGAGGTGGATTGATTCAGGGTAATTGGTACTGGAGTAATTGGGAAGGGAGTGTCAGAGACAGTGAGATTGGCACAGGACAGAGCAGAATTTAGGGCTGTTTGTACATAGGGTCGCTATGAGTCGCAAGCGACTCGATGGCACATAACAACAACAACAAGAACAGCTTCTTGAGGAGTAATGAGAGTTTCCAGAATGAAATGCAGCCATAGAATCTTGTCTCTGAGGAGGTGAATTATGCTTAGTTTCTTCTTTGTAGAACAATTATTACTTGAATTTGCTACAAGCATATACACCTGGATCACACTGCCCGGTCTTCTGTTATGTTACTACCTAGCTACCAAGATGAACTCCTGTCCTCTTTAAGCCTCATATTCTAGGCCCTTTGCAGTCAAGTCTTTCTTTATCTTGTGGTACATGATTTGTGTTTGTAGGTTTGCCCTCTGGAGCTTGGTTAGTACCTAGGTCCTCCCCTCTGAAGGCCTGGGCTCTTCACACGACGGCTCAGGGGGGCGATAAAGGGGACATCGTGGGGCATTTGGCCAGAACAGGCTGACTTTATTACAAAGAAGCTGGATTATTAGGAGGGTAAGTGGAAAGAGATATGGCCAGTTGAATGAAATAAGTGAGAGGAAATAATGGTGTTTTAGAGGCGGAGGGTGACCTGCAGAGCACCTGGTTAGAGCTTTCCCTTGCTTTGTTGTTGTTGTGTAACGTTGAATCAAAACTGACTCATAGCCGACTTTCCAGCAGGTTTGCAGAGGCAGTAAATCACACGGATGAAGATTGCTTTAGAGTAAAATAAACTGTGGTCCAGAGGGGTGACCTGACACACCTAGGGCGACACCCCCACTCACAACATCCAACTCTGGGATTAGAATTGAAGCTTTTGGGCTAGTTCTTTGCTCCTTCACTATATGGCCTCAGAGCATGCTTTTTATGGATGGGAGAGCTTTGTATTTAAAGAGATTCTACAGAAACCTGTTAGCAGTCCCAGCATTTATTACTAGGTGCCATTGAGCCAACTACAAAGGACCCTGTCACCACAGACCAGAACCTTGCCCTCTCCTGCTGCGTCTTGATGATCTCCCTCATGCTCGCCTGTTGTTACAATCTTGGTGTCAATCCATCTTGGTGAGGGTCTTCTCTTTCTCTGACCTTCCACCTTTCCCAGCGTCATGTCTTTTTCCAAGGACTGGCCCCTCTTATCATTTATTAGTAATTTTTTTTAATAGAAGCTTATTAATTTTCTTAAGACAACCATCCTGAGCTTTTTGATTCCATATAGTCCATATTTGGGAACAAAAACAAGACTTATATCTCTTAAGGCTACTTTGATAACCTTTATACTATGCTTCGGGGCTCTTCAGAGTGTGGCCCCCAGGCCAAGTGTATCAGCATTATCCAGAAACTTGTTAGAAATGCATATTTTGGGGGCACCTTGTCAGGTGTACTGAATCAGAAATGCTGGCAATTGGGCCCATTAACCTGTGTTTTAACAAGCCCTCCAGTGATTCTGATGGGCTCTGTTTGAGGAACACTCTTGGGCATGAGAAGGAGGTAAGCTTCTGGATGTCATCAGGTGTGGTGACACAGGGGCAACAGGAGCAGTGGCTGCAGTATCACAGAGTTTAGGTGGGGTGGGTGAGTTAATTGTAAACATTTGGCCTCTTGCTTGAAAAGCTCGGAAAATCTTTGTCTCTGTGTGTATAGCATCATTGCACTGCTTGAGTCTAGGAGCTCATGCTGAGGACAGCTCAACACATTTTCAGAAAGCAATCTATTCATGTCTTTCCCGAGAGGTGAAGCCCTCCTAACCTCATTTCTCTGTGTGCTCAAGCCAGAAGCCTGGGGGGCCTCAATTGGTTTAAAACGAGGCAATCAATAATATGATTTTTACCTTCCACCTGTGCCATCCTGCTGACTTTTTTGAGTTATTACTTATGAAATGAAAATGAAACGCGATTTCTTTTTAGGTTTGAAGCTTCAGAACTTTCTGGTGGACAATGAAACTTTCTCCGGATTCCTTCAGCACAACCTCTCTCTGCCAGAGCCAGTTGTGAACAGGATGATGGGGGCTCACGTTAGTCTCCAGAAGGTAAGTGCCACCTTGGGCTGCCTCAGTGGGACTGAAGCCATGGTAATGTTCTAGTACCTGGAAAGAAACAGTTAGGGGCCTGTCTGTGCGGTGATGGAAAAGGAGGGGGTTAGTTCAAATGTAGCTTCACGTAATTTCACTTCTCTGCTGAGACTGGCATTGCCAAACCATTCCGAGTGTGGGATGCACAACCTGGCAGCATGGGCCAGCTGGTTGAAATAAAACCAATTTCCTGCCTGTCAGCTGGCATTTGTGATGACTTTGGCCCCAGAAGGTCATGCTTTCTGTTAAATTAATTTCCCCCCTCTATTTTCTCTAGAATTTCACAATTTTTAAAAGACATGAGTAGGAGTGCCTGGAGATGTAGGCCAGAGAGTTTTAAAAACAACAACAAACCTTAATATTTTCTTTTAAAGAGGGCAAAAATATTTAAAGAGTAAATGCCTTTTTAGTGTTTGAAATGCAGAGCAAAGAGTAGTGCTCCGAATTATAATCTTCAGTTCTTAGAAAACTTTTCTCCCGTACCATTATTTCTCTTACAGCTCCTGTACCGCAGGTAGCGGGAGGTAGGGGAAGCTGATTACGTGATTAGCTATTTCCGGGAAAGCTGCTCAAACTTCTCTGGCAGAAAAGGGAACTGCTTCCTAACGCTCTTGCGCATCTTCACACTAGCTTGTCTTTGTAATAAGCAGAAGTAGAAAATGTTTATGCTGGAAAAGGCGGCTTTTGTTTCATATGACTGAGAATCTATAAAATTAGAGAAATATGCTTACCGCTTGCCCTTACGAAACTAGGAAAGTATGCCTTTTGCTTACCAGTTGTGTGGTTATGAGAGGGGCCGGAGACAGCAGGCTTTTGAAAAGTTGCATTTAGCAGGATTCCGAAAGCCCCCAGACAGTTTCACTTCTGCCACCGCTGATCACTTTAAACTAAGGGGCACCCAAATAGGGAGGCGGTTCTTGCATACTAATTTGTTTCTCTGCTGTCAGTGTTTTTGAATGTAAACACTGATTACCTGCCAGCAAAGACTACAGAAAGGATGAAACCAAAATGTACATGACTGGCAGTAACTGAAAACCTCTTGGAAAACAGAGAAGCCCAAATGCTCTCCAGTTGGTAGAAAGATGCGTGGATATTGAGAGGCTTATGGACCATCCTCCGTATTAGGATTTATATGCTGCATGCAGAGTCAGGCTGCTCTGGCTTAAACTGACCCGGGATGTGAAAATGCAGTAATAAAGAATCCACACCAGTCACTCTCTTATTCAGTAACTTCTTACTCTTTATAATTCTCCAGGTCCCAAAGTGGGCAACATTAACAAGGTGTCTTTTTTCCATTGAATTTCTTTTCTAGTGGAGAGTAAGCAGCACAGTTTATCTAAGCCCAGAAGGACCAGTTAAGTAAACGAAGTAGGGCCAAGGAAAGGCATTTTAGGTATCTAATGCTCTGATGACTTGGGGAGTTTTGCTCCTGATCCAAACTTCGCTGGTAGTTGAATCCACTAGAAGTTCAGGAGAAAGATGGACATTGTCCTCTCAAGTGATTTATAACCACTGGAACCCATTGGAGGGTCAGCTGTGAGTCAGTTCCAACTTGATGGCAGTGAGGGGGAAGAGGGAGGGAAAGAAAGAGGGAGAAGAGAGATGTAATAGATAGATGAAGATTTAGAACTGGGCCATCAAATGAAATGAGGAGAGGAGTGGCTTCCCAGGACTCTGCTCAGGGGCACATGAAATGCCAAATTCTAAACAGCTTAAAATAGTTCTTGTGTATCGCTTAAACAGCAACACCTACGAATAAAGAGTATTGCTTTTGTACAGTTTAACCCAGTCCTGAAAGCATAAATTCCACAGTAGAGAAGGCATTATTTTCCTGTTAAGGATTATTCCAGGAGTTCAGACACTGGCATCCTATTAGGTTTATCATGTGCACTACTTTTGATTACAGAATGTTGGATTCTAGATTTTTCTTTGAGAGAGATAGCATTAAGGACTCACAAGTCACACAACATCCAAATTGCAATATCCTGCCAGATAGTGCTTTGTTACTATCTCAGGTTCAGTCAAGAGATAGTATCCATTTTAAGATTTTCAAAGGCAGACTGTTGTGAAGCTCCCAATAGGATCTGAGGCCTCATCTTTGTAATCTGGTTTTGTTTGTTTTTTGTTTTGTTTTGTTTTCTTTCCGTAAAATATTTCCAGGTATTTGTGCATGGATACCAGTTACATTTGGCCAATCTGTGCAGTGGGTCAAAATCAGAAGAGGTGATTCAGCTTGGTGACCTAGAAGTTTCCACACTTTGCAAACTGCCAAGGGAGGGACTGGATGCAGCGGAGCAAGTGCTTCGCTCCAACCTGGACATCCTGAAGCCCATCCTAGTAAGTAGACTTGCTGTGGGGAGAGGCTTCAAGCACTCATGGTTTTGGAATGCAAAATGTTTTCTTGGACAACATTTTGTTTTTGTAGTCACAGAGCTGGCTGGAAGAGTGTAAAATAATTGGGTTCACTGGTGTTTCTGTTTTTTTTGTTTTTTTTTTTTTTTCAGATTTTGATGTTTGGCTCTGCGTTCAACCTCTGTGGTCTTGTGTGTATTTCAGTCAGAGAGAATAGGATGTTTATATGTATATATGTGTTCTATATGTTAATTGTAAGATTTTACTTGAAGAAAGACTTCTAATTAAAAAAAGATTCAAAACCATTGACCTGGGGAGAAAATACGGTCTTCAGGAAATAAGATGCTGTGGAGCATTGTAGAAAAACTCTGAAATTAGATGGGAGCTCAGTAGTTAGCTTAATCAATGAAAGGAAAAAGATTCAAAGTGGTGAGCAGAGAAATGTCTGCCTGGGAAATACTAGCTGAGAGAAACTATAGACATTTATTCTTTTTTTTGTTTTTGTTTTGTTTTTTAAATTTTATTATTTTTGTGTGCGTGTACCGTCAAATCAGATCTGACTGGTACAGGAGGAGATTGTCCCTCCTTCCCCGGCAGAGCATCTGGTGGATTCGAACCGTGTGCCTCTGGGCATATGGATATGATGAGCCTGATCAGCTTCCACATTAGCGTGTTACACAGAGTTCCAGAAGACGTTTGAAGGGCATGGGGTCAGCTGAATCAGGGTTGTTTTAGAACGCTTGTGAAATGGCCCTCAACTCGCATCATTTGATAGCCAGTATTCTAGTTTTTTGTTCAGCAGCTAGTTCTCTAAGTGCTGGCAGGTTCTCAAAACCAGGAAGGGGAACCACCCTGGAGGGAAGATACACCTGGGAAAAGATGCTCCTTCTTTTCACAAAAGGAAATGAGAATCTTCAGGGACTTAATGTGGCATGATTTCTTTTGAGAGAGACGGGGTCTAAGAATGTTCTTCTCCAGTGCTGTGACTGGACAGTACCTTAAAATGTGGCCTTTATTTCATATTCTTTTTATTTTGGTTGTATACTCTTGATGAACTTCTTTGCTCTTGATGGACAATTCTTGTAACCTGCTTGCCTCTGACAGTACAGCTTTGCAGCTTCTCTTTGAGGTGAAGGTGGCAGTAATAATATCTGTGTGAGTTCTTGGATGCTATTGGGATAACATTCATGGTGAAGATGAGCGTGCGTGTAAAGTGCTTAGGCTTAATGCTTAGTGCTTAAGAGTAGCTTTTTTCTTTAAATTTTAATTGTTCTTCTGGCTAGATAAATGAACACTGCATTAGAACAGATGAGGGGAGGAACTGTCTGAAAGGAATGCATAATTATGTATTATATGTATGAGAATAATCTGAAACAAGGGGTGCATTGTGGGGTGGGCTTGCATAGTGCATTGTGGGGTGGGCTTGGAGGATGGGGGAGAAAATGTGCAGCAGTCAATAAAAAAGAAAAAATACCTTAATTGTTGTTTAAATTTCAGTTTCAGGTTTTTAAAGAGTGTTTTGTTTAGTGACCTGTGATTATATCTGTTAATATGTTTATATCATTATTGCTTCCTGTGTGATTTCTCTTCATAAAGTCAGATTTCTCCTGAAAGTTCCCGAGTTATGGGATAGTAAGTGGTCAGGATTGTTCCATGTAAGGTGATTTACTGATGAAATGATTTGTAAATATTTTGACATGTTAGGGCTTAATCATTAAAATAGGTAGAGCCATACTGGGAGTAATGGGTATAACATTTGTATTTATTTTTTTTTTTAATCAAACCCACTGTGATGAAGTTGATTCTAAATCCTGAGTGGCCTCCACTGGGGTCTGGGGGCGCAGATCTTTATGGGAGGAATTAGCCATCTTTCTCTAAAGGATCGTTTGGTAGATTTCTCCTGCTCCTTGGTTGAAATTCCCACCTTGGAGATAGTGGGCGGTATGATATGTGACATTATCGCACATGAACAGTTGGTTGTGTCAGGACCCCCCTGAGGAACCCCGACACTGTGGGGAAAGATGCTGTCACTGTGCATTTCTGTAACAAAAATGCGTATTTTCCCGGGTCTGTTTAGAAATCTCTTCATGTTTTCGGTGGGAGTATCTCCTCATTTTTCATCTAAGGATTTCTGACTCTTTCTCTTGGACCTTCTTCAGTCTCTCATGGCATTTGGGCAATAATATTTAACCATGTGGGGAAAACTGTGGCTGAGTAGAAAGGGCATGCGCTTGAGGTCAGTTGGATCTGGGTTCATGACCTACTTCAACATTTTATCAGCATGGAGATATTATTACCTCTTTGCAAACCTCAGTCCCTGTTTCTTTTACGTACAGAGAATTCGTTCTGCTCTTCACTGGGAGGATTATTGAACATGTATATGAAGGCATGGGGCCTAGTGTATATAATAGATTATCAAGAAATAGAGGTAATATTTTAATCATTCTGTTATTATTTTAAGTGCAATTGAATTAAAACTGACTTATAGCTGACCCTCTGGTGGGGTTTTCAGGGCTGTAACTTACACTGCAGGAGATTCTTCCTCTTTCCCCCACAAAACAGCTGGTGGATTCGAACCTCCTTTTTTTGAGTTGCACAAATCCTTAACCCAGACCAACAGAGCTCCCTTCTTAATCAAGAAACAAAACAGCAACAACAAAAAAAAATTGCATTTTTATTTAGATCTTGCCAGAGCCTTTTATCCTACAGTTGTTTTTTGTTTTTTTTTTCCTTTTGGAAAGGTAGTAGTAATCCAAGGAACAAAGAGGAGACAATTTGAAGGTTATGTTTACTATCTAGCACCGTAATCCAGTCAGTCTTGGGCTCTCCCACCAGCTGGAACAAGGGGGAGGAGAGAGCATGTGGGGAGGTGGTGGAGCTCTCCCTTGGAGGCCCCATTTTTGCTCTAAGGCAACTCAGGATCCAGCAAAGAGGAACCTCGCTGAGGCTGCGATGACCACATGCTGCTGGTTGCTGGTTCGAGGGTGAGGAGGCTCTGGGGGAGGGCTGATCCATGGGGGCCCAGGGGGCCTACAGCAGGGGGCCCTCACGAGCTAGGTGGCTTCTTCCTGGCATCCAAGTCCTTCTTGATGTCCTCAAGCTTTTTGGCCAGGTTTTGTATCTCATAGTTCTGAGCCAGGTACATTCTAACGATGTTTCCAAAAGTAAATCCAAGCAGGAACTGGAGCATGATGTCGGCGGGGAGGGTGAGGAAGCGACAAGACCCACAGCCGCTGCCAGGCCGATCCCAGCCTGCCTCCCCCCCCTTTTTTAAAATAATTTGTTTTTTTATCCTGCAGTTTTGTATTTATATCTGTGTATTGATCCCAGATTTTCCTGAAAATTAATACTGGAGGTCAGAATGATAGTGTGTCTTTAAAGTTCTCTGGGGTTAATCGTGGTTTCTATTGTTATGTACCATTGGGGTTGGAACTGACCCATAGCTGACCCTCCAGTGGCTTTTCAGACAGTAAATCACACAGCAGGAGGTTGCCCATCCCTCTACATCAGAACAGATTTAGACAGTCTCTATTTCTCAACAAAATATTAACTAAGTTATGCATCAGATATATTCTAAGGGACAGGTTAAAATCTTCAAATAGATGATATTTTTGTGTGCATGAGTGCAAGGATAGGTTGACACATATAATACCATCTCTAGGAAGCAAACCACTTGCTTGTGAAGGGATTCTCAGGTTACCTAGTGTTCACAGTATTTGCTTTGCTGAAATGCTAACCTCTTGTGGAAGGGCAGGGCCATTTGGCAGTGACCTCTGATGTCTCACCACTCAGCAGGCAGGGTTTGGCCGAGGTGCTTGGCTGGGTACGTGGATTTGCCTTGCATTTTCCCTGCAAGCTCCATCTAAGGCACCACACGCCCTCTGACAATGAAGAGGGAAGTCTGTAGGTCTCACTGATGTCTCTGATCTGTTTTGTATCATAAAATGGGGCTTTTATAGCAGATCAGCAAATTAGAGATAGAGGAAGTGACTTGTCTGTGTTCTCGAGGTCCTTCTTGGTTATATTTGTTTTCTGTTGCTGCTGTCACAGATTATGACACCCATTTAGCAGCTTAACACAGTGCAGTTTTATTATCTCAAAGTTCTGCAGATCAACACATAATGGGTTATGTGTTGGGCTGCTAACTGAAAGGTCATTGGTTCAAACCCATTAGCTACTCCTTGGCAGAATGATGGGCAGTCATTTAAGATTTACAGCCTTGGAACCCAGTGGGGCAGTTCTGCTCTATCCTATAAGGACGCTGTGAATCACGATCCACTTGATGGTATTGAGTTTGGTTTTGTAAATCAGAAATTTGGGTATCATGGCGTTTCACTGAGACTAAACATCAAGGTATTGTCACTGGTTTTCTTATTTGGAACTTCTGAAAAGGAAGCCTTTTCCAAAATCATTTAGATGATTAGCTGAACGTACCCCTTGTCGATGACTGTGGTCTGTCTTTTCTGGCTCTCATCCAGGGCCTGACCTTTGCTCCTAGAGGCTGCTGGGATTTATTTTCAAGCTTCTCATCTGGTCCCTCTACTGCAGCTGTAGCTCGAATCCTTTTTTGGCTTCATATCTCTCCACCTTTTTTTTCTGCCGTATATCCCAGTTTCCAGCTCCAGGAAGATCTCTGATTACACTGTAAAATATAAGAAAAATTACCTCTTGAGGGTTTTTTATGTGCAACCCAAGGGCAGTGACTTTGGAAATGGAATGTGTCTGGGAGTATACTTGGTTGGGGGTGGGGATGTATGGGGTGGGGGAGGGGATTGTGTACTAATGAAAAGGTTTGTCTTTTGCTTGTCAAGGAGAGGCGTGAACTGGGGATGGGTGTGGGGTGGGTGGGGAGAAAAGTGCAACAATGAATGAATGGGATTCCAAAATCTTTGTAGATGTTCCTTGAAATTAATAATAATAATAATAAATAACAATAATAATAGAATTTAAGAAACCCAACAAAACCTTATCTTTGGCCCATGGAATGAA